ACTTCACTACCCTTCCCATTGGCTAATCAGCAAGATATGCAAATTAACTGCCAACCAAGATGGCAGCTGGCAGCCACGCAGCTGAAGTGAACATGAGGCTTGCTTGCTCCAGTGATGGAGGAAGCCAAGGTTCCCCGCCTGCCGCAGCCCAGCTCTGAGCTCCAGATGCAACATGTTGCAATTATAGAAGCTAAACAAACCCAGAAACCTGCTTTCAGCCACCAGCAGGCTCAGAGCTTAGAGCGCCAGTGATGGCAACAGAGTTTCAATTATAGAAGCTAAACAAACCCAGATACCTGCTTTCAGCCAGCCACAGCCTCAGAGCTGGAGCTGGCTCTCAGCTCCAATGACAGCCATAGAAGGTAAATAAATCCCAGAATAAAAAAAAAAAAAGAAAAAAAGGAGAGTTTGGGAGCTTCAGTCACCTGCCAGCCTGAAAACGGCCCTCAGCCCCTCACCCAGACTGGCCAGGCACCCCAGTGAGGACCCCCACCCTGAAGAGGGTGTGACCAGCTGCAAACAGCCATCATCCCCTCATCCAGGCTGGCCAGGCACCCAAGCGGGACCCCCACCCTGATCCGGGACACCCTTCAGGGCAAACCAGCCGGCCCCCACCCATGCACCTGGCTGCCCACCAGTGTGACAGGCTAGATGAGCACATGAGAGAGAGAAACTTCTCTCTGGTTTTCAGAGTCTGCGTTACACCAGCCTAGCCATTCTGTTCACACAGGGATTCCTGACCTTCCATGGGCTGAGGCAGGGCGGGCAGGGGCAGGGCTGGGGGAAGACGAGCCACTTTCCCAGATACGGCGCTGGTGGTGGCAATCCCAGAGCAGAAAGCGCGCACACCTCTAGACAGGCTCACATGGCATCGTCACCCCGGCGAGGAGCCGCACAGCACCCCACGGTCCCCAGAGGAACCCAGGGGTCGCTGAATAACTCCCAGGAGCCTGGCGGGTAGGATCTGCTGACGGCCACCCAACATAAGATGGAGCAGGAACAGTCGAGCAGATAGAGTTTGGAAAGTGTATGTGAGCCACCTGAATTTTGGATGAGGGTAGGAAATCTGAAATGGCAGAGTAAGTTTCTGCTACCCAACGGAATGAGGATTTTTTTAAAAAAAATAAGGCCGGGTACAGCTGAAGAGTCGAATGTCCTGCACACTTGAATCTGAGATCTGTGTACATCACAACAATTATAAGAGGGCTGCCGTCATTTGCTGAGAGCCGGCCAGGTGCCAGATCTTGGGCGTGAACAGTCTTGCCTGGTCTTCTCAACACCTCAATTATGTTGGCGTTAATTGCCTGCTTCATGGATGAGGGAACAGAATCTTGGAGATATTACACAATGCAGCCAAGCTCTCCCAGTGAGTGTGGGGCGGGGCCAGGATATCTGGTCCACAGCCCAGACTCGCAATTAATTCATGTTCAAGGGTAAACACAACTGTTATTAGCTTCAGAGGGTCTATTAGTTGAGGTTGGATTGCCTATAAAGAATTGCTTTTCTCTAAACTGTTTTTATGTCTAATACACATACAGAAAAACGCACATACGTGTACAACTATAAACTTTCACAAACAGAACACACCCATCTAACCAGCCCCAGGGGCAAAAAAAGGGCATGAGCAGAGCCTCAGAAGTCCCCACTATCACCCTTGCAGGCATGACCCCCACCCAAGTCATTACCTCACAGAAGCAGCGGTCAGTTCCTGCAGACTTTGCCTGGATGGACCTGGTTCATGAGACTGGGAGTCCTCCCTTCTCTTTTCAAAGTGATTTCATTAGAGAGAAGAAATCAGAGCTTTGTGTGTTCAACTTACCAGCTTTCCTCTTTCTGCCAGTGTTTGAGGTTCATTCAGCTTGGCAAACATTGACTCAGCTCGCAGCTGGGCACTTCGTGTCCGTGGAGCAATGGGCTAGAGCAGTGGTTCTCAACCTTCTGGCCCTTTAAATACAGTTCCTCATGTTGTGACCCAACCATAAAATTATTTTCGTTGCTACTTCATAACTGTAATGTTGCTACTGTTATGAATCGTCATGTAAATCTCTGATATGCAGGATGGTCTTAGGTGACCCCTGTGAAAGGGTCGTTCGACCACCAAAGGGGTCTCGACCCACAGGTTGAGAACCGCTGGGCTAGAGAAACAAATGAGACCATCGTGGCCCTGCCTCCTAAAACAGCAAAGGAATGTATGTGATTGGGCTCCTGCGTCCTGTTAAACCTCTTAGAAAACTGTCAAGTACTAAATACACGCAAGGTGGTGGGTGGACTGTTGGTGGCCGGTGGCACAGGCGTCTGGCGAGGCACTTCTGGTATCGGAGGTGTCTGGCCCGAGTGCTTTCTGCAAGGATCCCTAAGGTCACTGAGGTGATGCTGGATCAGAGACGAGGTTCAGAGTCAGTTTGGGTGACACGCTTTGGCGCACATTTTCCAAGGCCACTGGTGATAAAGTATTAAAGTGAACGTTGTCCTTGGTGTTTTCCAGAAGTTCTGGGGTTATCGTGAAAACGTCAGGGGCAGGAAATGGACCTGATGCAGCCCCCACCCCGCCCCCCGGTGTCAGACAGCTGTTTCCTGAGTATATCAGTCACTGTGCCTGTGAGTCCCGTCAGAACACTGACCTAGACGAGCTGCATGTGCGTCATGGGTGTCTGTGTTTGTATGCGTGTATGTGTGTATGCGGTGTGTGTGTGTGTGTGTGTGTGTGTGTGTGTATGTGTATGTGTGTGTGTGCGTGCACAGAACAATGTAGACTTTATAGACAAGCACACAATCTTCACTTTCATTTTCACTTTTAAGGGGAGCCTTTTCCTCTGTTTCCAGTTTGTGAAGGTCATACTTTAGTAGTCATTGTTTCCAGGGACACAGAGCTCCCACTGTTTCTGTTCTTTATTTTAATTGGATCAAAATCTGTTTCTTCTAAATGTGTGCAGACAGCTGTCAGAGGACGGACATGAATAATTTACACATGTAAGATCAATGACCTGTGGAAAATAAACGTTAAAAATGTTGCATTGTAATAGGAGTGGAATACATGCCAGCTAATCAGAGTTGCCATGTTTCACATGTCAAGACTCAAAAAAATCTGTTCATGCTCAACACTGATGAGGGTACGTCCCAGGAGACAGTCACATGACCTGCCGGAGGGATTGGACACTGGCCCAATCTTTAAACATTTCAACGAGCGGTTCTCATGTTGACATGTGCGACGTTGCTTCGCCACTGTCTCATCATTTCGTCCTTATATTTGTTTTGCATCAACTCAACTATCTGTTGGCCATTTTGCTTCCCCCCATATCATATACATGTATACATATCCACCCTTAATTGAAAATATTAAAAACATACATAATATTTTTACATAGATTCTTACCATAAACCGCTGCTATTACCAGCATTATTATTTGCGAACCTTGAAATAGTAATGTAGAGACGCTTAGCTCATTAATCCCGTCATTAAGTAACGGCCGTGCTGCTGTCCTCAGCTGTCTTCCAGCAGCTTCTCTCCTAAGGAGCCCTTGCATCCCGTGCCAGGAAACAGAAAGAGACAGAGTGCAGATGGCCGGGATACACAGCGAGCTTGGGGTCTCTTGGACTAGTGAGTGGCATGGAGAAGTGGAGGAAAATGTTTGGCATTAGAAAGAGTAAATGGGTGACCTTGTATTGAATAAAAGGCAGAACTAAGGGGAGGTACCATAACAGAGAAATGGGAAAAGATTTTGAATTGTGGTCAGCACTAGCAGAGAATGGTGCTTGCCATTGGGCAAGGTGAACTGCGGA